ACGCAGCTGAAAAAAAAAAAAAAAAAAAAAAAAAACAGAGGATGAAAGAATATATCTTATCAGTTGTTAAACCTTGGAATTATCCGTTATTATTGCGTTTTACCTTTGGCTTTGGTTTCATATAATCTTAAATACTTTCTCTCTTTTTTGGAGATTTCGTATATGGAATCTTAGACCATGATTATCCAAGGATTAAGCACTTTTCACACTCTCTCTCTTCAAATTAAGCATCCCTCTCCTCTTAAACATCTCCCTAAACACCCTTGGATAATCATGCTCTTAGTTACCTTTAAAAAATAATGACACTTCCAGGCTCATTCCCTAGCGAATCCAGCAAGATCAAGTGAAGTTCTTGAGATCCTAAAGGGCTTAGGCATTGAAACAAGACCAAGAACGCGCAAATGGCTAGTCTCTCTAGGGAGATAATCTTGGGAAACATACAGGTGTTGCTAGGCTTGTGATCTTCACTGCTTCTGTGGATTATATAGAAGAAGCGTGCAAGAGAAGTAAGGAGTTTTACACAAGGGCTTGTTAAGAGAGGTGTGGTTGTGGTGGCTTATGCTACGGATGGGAATAAGCCTGTTTTGGAGTTCGAGGAGACTGACATTGAAGAAGAAATGAGCCAGAGATTTGTGGCTCAAGTATTGTCTCGGAGTGGGAAAGGTTAGAATCTTTCGACATAAAGAGTAATTCATGAGTTGAAAGAATCAAACTTCTAGGTGTTCTTGATTAGTTTTTGTTCTTAAAATGGTGGTCAGGTAAGCAGAAGAAGCTGGCTTGTGTTTCTTCAGACTCTCCAGTGTACGTAGTTCTGTGCATTTGATTTGAAACCGGTTTACACTGAATCTTCCACCGGTTGTTGAGCTGAAGTTCTGGAAAGATTTTGACTTCAAAATCGTTTTTTGCACTTTTGTGGTAATTTAAATTGAAAACGTTTTTCAGAGCGGTATGGTTAAGAGTTAACCATGACCAGAGAATAGAGAGGATATAAAATTTAGAGATGGAAGAAATAATGGTAAATGTTTTGGGTACATACGGTTCTAGTCAAGTTACAAACAGATAAGACCGGTATGAAGATTACACCAATTACACAACACTTCTTTTTAGGTCTCTCTCATTTAAGCTTTCACTTCTTCAATCTCGTCCAATGCATAGTTGTTGGTCGATATGTTCGCGTAGTTCACTTTCGCAAACCGGACCACAACAGGGTACCGGGTCTTTGGGTCCTGCACATTGGGTTAACCGGGTCAAGAAAATTATACAAACCTGCCTAATGATATGCATAAGTGACTCTTATATCGTTACAAGCCTTGCCTAATGATATGCATAAGTGACTCTTAAATTGTTACAAACCTACCTAATGATATGCATAAGTGACTCTTAAATTGTTACAAACCTACCTAATGATATGCATAAGTGACTCATAGATCGCTAATTAGAGACTAAATGTGTTTACCTGATCAACGGCCACAACCGATCCAACGCTCTTGAACCAGTAGGATTCTCTCCTTAGAATCTTGACCTACGAACCCAAACAGTTTATATTATTAATATAAGATGAAAATTTGTCATGAAATATACATTGAAAATGAGAAAAAACTATATAAAAACGTAGACTAATTTATTAAATACCAATTGATTTTCACTTGGAAACCCATAAAATTTGATAGAATGTGGTAACAATTTTTTCCCTATTGTTATAAAGTCACTCAAATAAATTTTGTTCATAGACATAGAATCTACCGATCGATTCGATATGTAAAGTTTGGTGTATGCATGCGCATGTTAGTATTATACAAGATCTGGTTTAGATTAGCTGACCTTAGCCCCTCTCTTAGGGCCAATAGGAGGAGGCTTGGGTTTGGCGGCAGGTGCTGCAGCCGGCGCCGCTACAGCTGCCGGAGCACCTTCAGGCGCAGGTGTTTCTGGAGCCGCCTCATCGGCTGCTCTAACAACGAGCCTAGAACCAGCGTTTCTCATCGGTAAGAAAGACACGGAGTTCCTGGACGACGAAGCGCCAGCGGCAGCCGTGACGTTGGCCGGTAAAAGAAACACCGAAGATGCTGACATCATCGCCATCTGTAGAGTATTTTTTTGTTGTTGCTTCTTGTTGTTTCTTCCGACAAGAAAGAGTGAGTTCTTGATTCGTAATATGTTGGAAAAGGCTAAGAAAAGAGGAGTGGTGGTGGTGTTTTGGATTAAACGAATCGTTTCCCTCCACTTGATATCAGCCACGTGTCATTACATATCGGTTCTTAAGGATAATGCGATGACATGTAATTTTGTAGCTTGTAAACGTTTTTCCTGCAAATGTTACCAAATCACAAATATCTCATGCACTTGTTTGTTTTACATTATCTTCTGATTGTTATTTATAAGAAGTGAAAGAATAGAAACGCTTGGTAAAATATTTTTAATTATCCATTAACAAATTAATAACAATTTCATTTTTATCACTAAATTAAAATTTTATTTTATATATAACAAAATCTGTTGAAAAATATAACAAAATTCTTCAAAAAACCAATATTTTATAAAAGAATATTAATAATTTCATAATTAGTAATATAATATTATTATACATTAATTTTAACTAAAATTTTGTTCCAATGAAAACATAAAAATGTATGCTATTTTTAATAAATTTTATTATTGTAGTGTATTTATATTGAAATAGAGTATTATATAAAATTAAATATGGAAAACTATATTAAATTGGTAGATCTTTTATTTTTCATTTTTTTCATTTAAAATGATAAATAAAATATCATCCAGAACAAGTTAAAATTCGTAAACTATATAATATTTTTTTACAAAATTAAAATTGTTAACATATGTTAAACTGTTATATCTACAACTATATATTTTAATTTATTTTGGAACTCACAGTTATATATTATCTAAATTGATTATAAAAAGAAATGACAAAATGTCAGCTTTCCCTCTAGAAACCTCAAATTCTGTCAATAGAACCGGCGGCATGACTTATAATGCAAAGAAATGTGTAGTCTCTTTCTTTCTGAAATGGTTGGCGAGATTATGCGCTACTAATGTTGCGTCATCCCCCTTGGGAGATACATAGGTGTCAGTGAAACCAAGTCCTGATTTCTGCTGTAATTGCAGAGAGAGAAAATGCAAAGATTTCTGCTGTATATTATCTTAGATGTGTGTGACAAGAAGGCATCCGTGGTTCATGAACACATTTGTGTTGCACACTCAAAGGCATGAAGTGTATGTTCTCTTTTCATTTAAAGATTTTTCTCTAACCTTTTTATAATTCTTACACCGGATGTGTAAACTTGTCATGTGTGACCCATATATATCCGTTTTAAGCTACTCACTCTGCTAAGTATCTTTCTTTGGGCATGCGTTTGTGCTGCTGCTTGATAATATGTAAATATGTTAATGGATAACAACATTCTTTGCAGAAGTCCAGAGCCAAGCTTGAGCTGGGAGGTGTCTTTAAAGGCTTAGGAGACATGTTGACAGCATGGGGGTTCTTAAACTTTAAAGATAAAAACTGAGCAGTTTAATCTGGAAATGAACAAATGTTAGAGAGCTCATGTAGCCTGTCTAACGGTCGAGTCTGGCCTGTGTTTTTGCGGTATCCGACAGCTTGGGTTGTTGCGGTCTTTAGGGAAAATCATCACCAAATCATCCAAGAGTATTGGTGTGGTCTGCAGCTTCAATGATACAATATCATTGTTGGTTTATACCATATTAGAGTATCATGAGAGTTTATGATTAGAAGATTTTGATGCTTAACTCTCATAGGAATTAACCAAATAGCCTTACTTTAACCCTTTTTTTCTAAAGAAACCTTGCTTTAACTTTATTTATTTGTCTGGCTGTGTGAATCGGTCCATATTCTACCTAATACACATAATATATAACTTAAGATAGATTATATTCTATAATCCTTAGATTCAGTTTAATAATGTATATGAAACAGTCATAAACGTCATAAGTTGGACCGTAAGATATGATGATGACTTCCTTTCTACGTAACTACAATCTTTGGCCTCATTTACCCTATTTGGTATTAATTTATGATATATTCTTTGATATTTATTCCTTATATAAATAAAGTTTGCTAAAATCTGAAAATATAGTTGTCAACTATCTCATAATCTCAATGGGGTTAAGTTAAATTAAACGAGAATTGTGCCAATCATAATCAAATAATATTTAAAAAAATTATGGATAAATGAATTTTGTAAATGGAATTCCAGATCAGTATTGAATCATAAAATCAAAATATAAATATAACATATTACCTTATAAGATTTTAGATGAAATATTAGTCATACGATATCAAAAAAAGAAAGATGAAATATAAAATCATACAGTATTGAAAAGGTTCCCCTATGGTGTTGCACTCAAGGCATCCCAGGATCTATCCTCGTGTTTCAGAGTTAAAAAGGTGTTCAAGTGAAAATGAAAGGTATTCAATTTAATTATATGAACTTTTAGATATCATTATGTGTATATATATATATATATGCATGACGAAATATACGTCTATTTTAAGGTTAGTTGCATATAATTTTATTTTCGACAAGACTACCAGAATATGTAAATATACAAAAGACTAACTCGATCAGAGGAGTCAGACTCCTACACCAAATACTGATATATATCATCTATTGATTGGTGAAAGTATTATAATTGGCAAATCGAAATAAATATATATGGGATTAGGTTTCTTATTATTAATGGGGACTTTTAAGAAAGTGACAAACACATTTCTTCTTTACAACCTAGTAGATTCAGTGTTTCGTTGCATTTAGTTTTATCGAAAATGAGTTTTTTATTAATAATCAAAATAGCAAATGTAGTGTTTGTTATGAATTAAGAATAGCATCATTAGCAGTTAGTTGACCTACTAATATAGATTAAGCATTCAAATACACGAGTTAGTAATGTTAGTCTAAACAAAAGAACACAATTATCAAGAGACCAAACCAAGGGTAGTTCATAAATAGACTCATAAGTGTATTATTGATTATATGAGTATGATGCAGTCGTTGTCAGAAAAGTATAAATAAGTTGATGCAGTATAAATATTTATTAGTGTGGTTGCTTCTAAAACCAAGTAAGACCATCTCCCATGAAATGCTCCACGTAATGAAAAAAAAAAATCTTCTTTTGATCTAATTAAAAAGATCATCTTCTTTTGATCTAATTAGAAAAAATAATCACCATGTAATTAAAAAAAAATATTTTATAAAATACAAGATATTAATATTTTATGAGTTATTACTTTCTTTATATATAAATTTATCTTATATACACAAATCATCTTCTTTTGATCTAACTAACATGTGTAACAATATCTTTTTGTTTAAAACATAAATCAAATAACAAGTATGTAAGAAAAATTATAGTTCTTGAAGAAAAATAAATAAACTAAACATTAAAGTGTTGGTATGTTGTATTGATTTGATTTCTTTTTTCTCTATTAGCAAACCATTGAGCGGTTTTTCCAGCGATCGGCAGCCACAAACGCCGTCTTCTCTCCTCTCCGTTTTCTAACGCCGACGCAGTTGCTGCGGTTGAACCGCTGCTGTCTCCATGAACCACAATACTGAGTCTAGGAACCGTAGTGATCTCAGAGACCGATCGTCTTCCCGTCTCGATCATAAGGCTTCTTGATTTCGAACCAGAGTCTTTGCTTTCCGACAACAACATAGTTTTCATCGAACTCAACTTGTTCTCCATCTCTTCCTTGATCCCCAAGATACCTCTTTGATCCTCCTCTTCATCCCTTCTCTTAAATGAGAATCTCTCGCTGGAGATCGAACTAACCATCTCCGAATTCAAAAACATCAAATCTGAAGAACTCACGTTGCTCCAACGATTCTTGAACATTACATCGGACACAAAGATCCTATGATTGAACTTATGCATCAACTTGTTCTCCTCTTTATCATTTCCTTGTTGTTCAAGTAAGGGTTTCTCTTTATGACCTAATTTAAGAATCTTCCTGAAACTCCCCCCGATGCTGAACCTCGATGAGCTACCAACTTCCTCTCTCTGTCTTCTTCTCTCCTCTTCTTCTTCTTCTCTCTCTATGTAAAGCTCCAAGCTCGAATCTTCTCTTACCTCAGAGAGATTCAAGAACCGGAAACTGCTTCCGTAAACAGAAGTTTCCTCTTCTATTGAGACTCTGTTTCTGCAGAGAGGACACGTTGCGTGCTGCTCAAGCCACTGATCGATGCATCCGATGTGGAAAGCATGACGACATTTAGGCAACAACCTAAGAATCTCGACGCTTTCGAATTTAGACAAACAGACAGAACACTCAAGGCCTTGTTTAGATCCTTTCAAAGAAGAGAATCTAAACATAGGAAGTGACTCGATTGCTGTCTTCTCCAGACCGGAGAATCGATCAGAGGAGTTAGTTGATCTGTTGAAGATAAACCCTTGTCGGATCCGGCGATCTTGACGCCTTAGGTCGCCGGAGCCTGATAGGAAGTCGATGTGGCAGCACTTAGCGTAGACGAGGATGACGAAAGTGAGTGCGAACATGATGGCGAGAACTCCAGTGACGATGGCTAAACTCGGCTCGAAATTTGCGACGAGGTCGCCGTTAGTGAGCGGAGGAGCAAGAGGCTGAGCAGAGACATAGTAATAACTTTGGAAGATTGTAAGAAAGAAAAAGAAGAATTGATACATCGGAAGAAGAATAGAGAAAACTTTTTTTGCTTTTCTTGATTTTCTGAGAACATGTTTTCTTGCCACTAGCTTATAAGTTATAACCAAGAACATTTTATATTCATATTAATTTATTAATCGCAATTTATAAATGATAGTTGTTGAGAGATTAAATGGTAATGAACTCAAATATATATTAAAATGTTTTGTTGCTGCACTCGCGGGAATTGTTTAAGTCAACGACCAGCTGCATAAAATTCTGGTGCGTGTGTGATTAATCTTGGATGCTTTTGAGCTTACACAATCTATCACTAGACTCTAAGATCATGTGTTATTGTGTTAAGACCAAACCACAGGCTTGCAAAACTACTAATGGTACTAGTAGCAATACACAAAAAACGAAGACATAAAGTTAAAATGAAGATTTAGATGATCGAAGAATTCCTCCCTTGGCATAGCTTCAAAACTGACTTATATTATTTTAAACAGTTTAGAAGAAGTTACAAGTTTTTCATCTTAATTACATTTTGTATTTCTATGCCGATTTCCTAGCTAAAACGTCCGAAGTTACTCGTTTCCCATATAAATCATAACTAGTCGATAGCAACAAATCATCTGAGAGAACCTACTAATAACTAATCCTGACTTGGTGATTATGGGCTTTAATCGACAAAAAAGTTGAAATGAGGAAAAAATTAGGGAAATTTGTCAAAAGGGGACCGAAAAACACAACTATTGTTCCCTTAGAATAAAATCAAATTTTGACACTTTTGGACATTCACTACCCTTTTTGTATATAAAAATTCAAAGTAAAAAATTTACAAGGTAAAAAATTGAGGAAAAATATACAATATGAAATAGAGTAGCATGTAAATTTATGAAAAATATTTTTACATTCAAAAAATGTTTGGAATAGTAATTTCAAAAATTGGATAAATCGGATAGTAAATCAGATCTACCATCTACGGCGGTTCAGAGTGTACAATCTACTAACAACTAATCCATCTAAAGGGCTTAGAATGCGTAATACACCAAAAACATATACATCTACGATTGAAGAATATGATAACTGGCATTCCTTCTTTGTTATGCAGTTTCAGTAGAACATAGCATATAATAAAGACCCATGCGTCTACCTTGGCAGAATATATCTTCTTAATTTTAATGTTTTGTCTACGCTCGTGGGATTACGTTTCCACTGGTTAAACTAATGGAAAATTTGGTAGAATGTATCTTCTACCAACGGTTTATGAGCCACCATCCGAAAATCTAGCAAAATCTGAAAGTAAATATTCTCTAAATATTTTTATTTCCTTTTTTAATATATTTTGCCTTGAACGTGGGTCTTCTTCTTCTTCTCACCGTGAAAAACCTCTTCTATTCTTCTAGTTCTTCCACTTCCAAGCTATCTAACAATGAAGATGCACATGTATACTTCATGTGGTTCGTGGAACTCGTCTGTAAGCAATGGATGGCGATTTGTTGTTGATGAAGGAAAAGGAGGTAGGTTACAAACTGTGGACACAAGTTCATCNAGCAATGGATGGCGATTTGTTGTTGATGAAGGAAAAGGAGGTAGGTTACAAACTGTGGACACAAGTTCATCTTTTGAACACCTGAAGTTGATCGTGTGTGAAGACTTTGGAATTGATCTAGACATGGTCAATATCGAGTTGAGTTACTTACCTTCAGATTTGATGAATAGCATCAACTCGCCACCTGTTTTCATCACCAGTGATAGGCAACTCAAAAAACTTTCTAACATATCTAAAGATCAGAGCTTCTACGCGGTTATGTGTGTGTGTTCGATCTAAGGTGGATACAAGGAATATCAACGTCGAATTTGACTTGAATGAAGAAGGGACTACTGAGTCGCCTATTGAGTCGTCTAACTCGAAAACTTTCTAACATCTTTTTATACATAAACCTCTGTTTTTTGTTTTTCTGCAAGTTATCTTTCATATTCATGATCCGTTTCATGTTGATTTTAGCAGTGTTTTTGATTTATATTGAATTTAGATGTCTTTGAAACATGTCAATAACACTAGAAATTCATTACTTGTTCTTATTCAATATAGATAGAAATAGAAAAAATTACAAAATATCAATCAAATTTGGAACATAGACATAAAATACTGAGAATGGATCCTACATAACCAACATCTCGAGAGGCTTTATGCTTCATAACTTCTTCTTCCACCATTTTCAACGAAACACACAGATCTTCAATTTCTTCTGCCATGAACGCTTGATGGTCATCCATCTTTTGAATCTCTTCATACAGAGCCTCATCCACCCTCTTAAAAAGATGTTGCTCTTTTTTCTCTGATTTGGAACAGAAAACAAATTAAGTCTCAACACAGAAGAATTGATAAGTATTTATATATGACATTTACATGTAAAGCAATCTCACATTTGAAGAACCGTCGGTATGGATTCTCATATGTTTTTGAAACGTAAGTGACAATCCCCCTCCCACACCAGCATCTGCGAGGGATTCCTTCAATGTTGTTCATGTTCGCCATATTTTTCGAAAAGAAGAAAGAAAGACGATGAGGAAAAGTGGCCAAATTAGGGTAGATGATATACGTAACATNACATTTGAAGAACCGTCGGTATGGATTCTCATATGTTTTTGAAACGTAAGTGACAATCCCCCTCCCACACCAGCATCTGCGAGGGATTCCTTCAATGTTGTTCATGTTCGCCATATTTTTCGAAAAGAAGAAAGAAAGACGATGAGGAAAAGTGGCCAAATTAGGGTAGATGATATACGTAACATGATTTTTGTTCTTACTGTTTAGGGTTTCATTATTGGTTTAGGGTTTCATTATTGTTTAGGGTATGGATTTACCAAGATTTTTGTAACATGATTTTTGTACTTTTAAAATATACTATATAACATTTACATTTTGTTCTTCCTCCAGTGTGGCGTCTGGTGGTGTACGAGTCTGCTTGTTGAGTTGGAGCTCTGGGTTTCGCCGTCTCTGGTAAGGCTCGTGTCTCTATGTTTTGTTTGTGGTGCCTCCGATGTGTTCTCCTTTGGTAGCAGCGCGTGTGGGTTCGTCGATGGCGGAGGCGTCGGTCCTCTTCTCTCAGGTCCCTGGTGGCAGCGTGTTGGTGTTTGGCTCCCTCCTGTTCGCTTCAGCTCGTCTTTGGCTTCGGTGTGTGCCGTCACCCCTCAAATCAAAATGGTGATGGCGGTTGTGGCCTGCTTCATCTCTCGCTCTTCTCAAATAATTTCTTCAACATTGTGTTTGTGTCTCGTAAGTAAGTGTCAGCTCGGGTGTGTTCTTTGGTGTGATAGTTAGTCACTCGGATCAGAGTGTGGCCTCGAATTTGTTTCTTCTAGAGGGTTGTCCGCTCCCGATCTGTCTTCTCTATATGAGCAACGGTTAAATGGATGTATACGGTCCCGGTAGAATGCAACGGAGGCGTTAATCTCTGGCGCAAGCTACTGAACGACGGCATCGTTGGGTCTCGGCTTCTCCTCGTACCGCCGGTGGTCTCTATTTTCTGGCCTGCTTTGGTCTCGTGTTCAGATTCTTCGCTCGGGTACGCTCTGGGTTCTTGTTGGAAGCTGTAGGAGCCGTAGCATTCAGGGTTTGAGGGCGCCCTTCTCTCGGTAGCTCGCGGTAACTAACGGGTTTTCTCATCTAGTACTTGTTGTTGGTAGGTTTGAGCTCCTCTCGCTATTAACCGTTTAATCACTTGCGTTTGTATTGCTTTGGGTCCTTTCGTTTGTTGTTGCATAGTTTTTTCGGTGTTGTTGTTCGTTTGTTTCCGCTACTTGTTTCCTCTGTAATATCTGTCAAAAATCTAAAACCGGTAATAATATTTAACATTTTACCAAAAAAAAAAAAAAAAAACTTTGGCCTTGAGTTTGACCCGAGCGAGCAAGCATTATCAATGTATCTTCTCAAACGAAATTCCATTTGTTTACAAAGAGATTCAAGGCATTACTCCGGCTGATTTTCCAGGTATGATCAGCCGAGGCATCTGCCATTAGATGATACCTTTACTAAAGATGGCCTAATGATCTTCATATCGATAGTTGATTATGCTTGGATTTCATGTACATCTTAAGGAATCTTGCCATAAGCACTACTTAGATCAATTTATGGCCGTCGCCTCGGTAAATATGTCCTTATCAAATATAAGTACAAGTAAATTTAAAAAAAAAAAAAAGTACAAGTAAATTTCGTATTATGAATGCATGTTATATGTAATGTTCATATTCACATTACTTTCAACCAAATCAGAAAAGGCTATTATTAAATATCAAAAAACGCATGCAAGAGAAATTTTGTAAGTCAACCAGTAGTCTTCACGTAGCTCTGCAACCGGTCACCTATTTCATACAAAATATAAATATGTCATTATTTTGTAGTGAACAACAAGTCGCTTTGGCCGAGTGGTTAAGGCGTGTGCCTGCTAAGTACATGGGGTTTCCCCGCGAGAGTTCGAATCTCTCAGGCGACGTTTCTCTTTTATTCAGTTTTTTTTTTTTTAATTACAAATATCTAAATAGTAAATACGCACATTTATAGGGCTTTTGGAAACTGTAATCGGACGGTAGACAAAGAGGAAAATCTAAAGCTTATATGAATTCAAACCGTTGGATCATCGTATTTAAGAAGAACGGTACGATCAGATTGCCACGCAGATCTAACCGTCGAAAATAATCCAGAAAAAAACTGAAATTTCAAAAACATGTTAAGAGAGAAAGGGAGATGGTGTGGAAGAAGAAGATGAACAAAACCGAAAGTATTTGCCTTGAATTATTTTCCGTCATCGTCTTCCTTCGCGAGCTAAAACTCAATAGAACCCTAATCTCCCACATCTCTTTCTCTCTCAAAGCTTATCCCTTTATCAAATATTCAAATTCAAAGTCTCGTCTGAGCTCTTTTAACAGCCGCTGAATCTGTTTTAACTTCTTTTTTCTTTTTTTTTCGCGCTCCGTCGCGGGATACGGATCTGGGTTTTCTCTGTGTGTTTCCTTGGGCTGATTTCTTGGAAAGGAAAAGTTTTGGAAAGTTTGAGATTTGAAACTTTTTTCAGATGGGTGAAGGCGGCGGGGGAGTAGATTTCCCGCCAGAAAAGGACGGTGTGTCTGATGAGTTTGGTTCCGAGAGGAAGCCAGCGCAGAAACTTGACTTCACTGGTGGTTCTGATGAACATTCACTGTCTAAACCGGCTCCTACCGTCGTCACTCCCTCCGTTACTTCACCGGTAACAATAACGTCGCGGCTTCATCCGGTTGAGTTACCGGTGGTGACGTCACAATCTCAAATCCTTAACGCGCCAATCAGGCTTCCGTAAGATTTTATCAGTTGATGATCTCTTTGTTAGGTCTAGTTTCGATAAGTGTTGACTTTTGTGAAGAAAAGATTCAAACTTTTGCTTAAAAATGGTTTAAATCTTCAACCTTTTTGAACTAATTGGTGAAACGAGTTTGATTGAATCTTTTTTATAACTCTTATTGACCATAATGTTACCACAAAAGTTTTTTTTTCTTTTTTGAATTTTCAAATATTTCTTTTTTGAGCAGAAAGGAGCAGGAATCTCCAAAATCTAGAGCAGGGCTTGTTGTGGAAAGTAGAGATGGAACCCCTCAAAAGAAGAAGCATTGCAACTGTAAACATTCTCGCTGCTTGAAACTGTAATAACTCTTTCCCATTCATGCCGCATTTATCAAATTTTTGTTATGTTTGTTGTTGATATATGGTTTAGTGCTTCCTAGGTTCGGTAGATATGTTAGTATATGGATTACTCAAGCTATTGCATGTTCATAACCTTTGACTCTTCCGTATCGTGTCAGGTATTGTGAATGCTTTGCATCCGGAACATACTGTGACGGTTGTAACTGCCTCAACTGTTTCAACAATATTGATAATGAACCCGCAAGACGAGATGCTGTGGAAGCAACTCTGGACCGGAATCCAAATGCATTCCGGCCCAAAATCGCTAGCAGTCCACATAACAAAGGATGCCACTGCAAGAAATCAGGATGCCTTAAGAAGTATTGTGAGTGTTTTCAAGCAAACATTCTTTGTTCAGAGAACTGCAAATGTTTGGATTGCAAAAACTTTGACGGAAGTGAGGAGAGACAAGTTTTGTTTCACGGTGAACATGCCAACAACATGGCTTATTTTCAACAAGCAGCAAATGCAGCCATTACTGGAGCTGTTGGTTCTTCCGGGTTTGCTCCGTCACCGGCAGCTAAGAGAAGGAAAGGTCAAGATATTTCGTTCAACCAAGTAACCAAAGATTCATATATGCATCGACTTGGCCAGTTTCAACAGGTTTCACAACTTCTCAGTTTAGTCTATAATGCATTTTTTGTATCCACTGCTTGGTTAATTGAAATCTTGTTATTGTATTTAGGTAAGTAATGGAAGAACTAGTGGCCCAACTGTTTCTAGGGCTGGTGGCAACAATTCATCGGTAGCTCCATCAAAGTTTGTATACAGGTGGAATTTCTGGTGTTCACAAGTTATTTAGTTGATCCAAAGAGCTGCATAAAACTGACTTATATGTTGTATTGTTTTCAAGGTCTCTCTTAGCAGAGATAATCCAACCGCAGGATGTGAAAATGCTTTGCTCAGTTTTGGTCGCTGTAGCCGGAGAATCAGCAAAGACATTAACAGGTGAAAACTTTGAGTGAAATAAACTAATGTATTCCTGAGGTCTTATCTTGGCTCTATGTGTATTATTCATTGATCTTCCTTTGAATATTTCCTAGATAAAAGAAATGAAACAGAGAAACGGGTTGAAGATCAAATAGAAACATCTATAGCTTCTTATAACTCACAAGGCAATAAAGATGACAGTGATGTCGAGATGGTTGCAACTGATGGTTCTAAAGGAAAGCCGCTATCTCCAGCAACTTTGGCTTTGATGTGTGATGAACAAGACACTATCTTCATGGTAGCAGCAGCTGAACCTAATGGTTCAATGGACCCTGGTGACTGCAGAACAAACTCACAAGAGGAGTCAGTGATTTTCGAAGAGCAGGAGAGAGTGGTGTTAACCAAATTCAGAGATTGCCTTACTCGACTTATCTCTTACGCAGAATTTAGAGGTACTCAATGCTTAACAACAGAACGCAATGAATAAACTTTATTCTCTAAAGTTAGTTAAGTTTTGTTTGTTTTGCAGAGTCGAAGTGTTCCAGTTTAGCTAGAAGGCATATACAGTCGCCCTCAACAGCTCCAACGGTGACTGTGAAAACAGAGAATGAGATTCAGCAAATACCACCAGTTGTGAACGGAGCTTCTCAACCTACACTCAACAAACCACAGCTGTTCCAGCCGACGACCATAACAAATACCACAAGCAGTCATCATCCTCATAAACCTCCAGATTTAACGGAGAAGAAAGACCTCTGAATCAAATAAAGTATACTTCTACGTAGGAAAACAATAAGTTACCAGAGAGAACATAAACAACATGGTGAAATCCGCCTCACCATCGCCACATTAGCATGTGAATTAGCGAGTAATAGACACAAGTTTTCACTCTTTCTTTTCTTCTAAAGTCTACTCTCCAAAGCCCCTGACTAGTGTAGATTTTGCAGAGCTTTGTTCCTGTACTACAAAGAGTTATTTATTACTAGTTAGAATTTGAGAGTAGCATAGCATAATAATTTCAAATTTTACAAAAGATGTAAATGTCTCCATATTTTCTATGACCAGAACAAGTGAACATATCTGAGAATGATGTCATTACAAACATTTTATTAAGAACATAACAATTCACTTTTCTAGTGTTTAAAACAAAAAAAAAAAAAATCTTTGAAATTAAGAGACTGATTTATTCTCATTTAGTGACTTATCACTTTCAGCCTCTCCTGCATAAACATGTTCCAACCCATCTTTACTTCTGCTCCCTTTTTGGGCATTTTCACAGTCGAGACCTCGACGATTTAGGTTCACTCTGCAGCCAAAAACCAGAAATTTCATCATAAATTACAATGCAAAAGACTGGAAAAATGAATAAACTGATGCTTTCATAAGCTTTAAAACATTTATTTCATAGCTCTAAGTAAGCGTCTAAATTATTTGTTCTATCCTACAACCTAATCGCATAGTCCTCAAGATATTGTTTATATCTCTCTAAATATGATTGGCAAGGTCCAATGTTAACCGGTGATTTGCAGCAGATGAAACCATTTGACCATTCACCTCAGATTATATTCTCATATTGTAGTTAATGGATTTGTCAAATATGAAAACTTGGTTGTCACTGTTTTCTTGCCACATCATAAACTTAAAAGAGAAGTTGAGAGACTTTACCAAAAGCATTCCTTTCGTTGCCCTTTCCTCCAGATACCTTGATGGTTTGAAAAAGCCACCATAAGTCTCCGACAATCTCTTGAGCCTTTCATATATGTACTTCGGTCCAACCGTGTCTGCCCAGAAAAGAAGTCCCCCACTGCAACAAGGAAGACGCAAAATGTTTACCATAAGAAATGATCATTACCATAAATCTTAGTGACAAACATAACAAAGGAAAATAGCTTGTTGGTATAGTCTGACTTGTTAGCAAATGACAAGAAGGTACACAACGAGATGATTTTATAATCCTCACCGAAAAGATGGGAAACTCATTCCAAGAACAGAAGCAACGTCCAAGTCAGAGGCTCGGATCACAACTCCTTCATCAAGGACACGGCACGCCTCGTTAACCACAGGGAACAAGATCATCTCAACAATCTCTTTATCTGTTACTGATATAGGCTGAAGAAGAAAAACAAGGCTGCATTATATAAAACAAAAGTACCCAAGGTGCATAAAGTTAAGAAGGGCAAGGCCTCCTTACCTTCCCACCGGGCATGATGTTGGTAAGTTTCCTTGATTCCTCAACAACTGAAAGCACTGACGCATCAGGTTTTGGTTTGCTTCCCTTCTCGTAAATATAATATCCTCTCCCGTTGATCTTGCCTGAAAGCAGCACATGTTAAAAGTGAGCACATGAGAGATCTGCAGAGGCAAAGAGCAATGACATACCATTTCTCCCGCTCTTAAGCAGAAGCTCTGTCAACGGAGAGTAGAACATCCGGTCACCATAGGCCTTGGCGTATATATCCTTAACTGCTATTCCTATCCCATGTCCAGCCAAATCACCTAGCCTGAGAAGTTAAAAGCTTTCTTCAGTTGCTGAGATAGTCATACACAAAAAGTGTAGGCAACTAAACAAGGAAGGAGAGATTTACTGTAAAGGACCCAATGGGAAGCCGAAAGAGGTAATAACGCTGTCGACTTTGAACAAATCAACACCAAGATTGACCAACATGTGTGCAGCTTGTGTATACGGAAAGAATGTCCTGTTCACTGCAAAGCCTATGCAGTTTCCAACCACCACGGGGACTTTCTTAATGGCCTTTCCAAGCGCCATGAGATCAAGAATCACCTGAGCAGATGTATTCTCTGTACGAACTATCTCCAAAAGGGTCATCAGATGTGCCGGGCTATTAGAAGAAAAGACAAAACTTTCTTAATTACATTAACAATTCAAAGGTATAGAATCTCTTCCTGACACTGAAAGACGCAGAATGACCTGAAGAAATGTGCGCCAACAATGCGATCTTTTGAGTTGGTTTTTTCACCAACTACGTTGAGGTCGATAGTAGATGTATTGCTCGCCAAAATGCAATTTGGTGGACAGACCTCTTCGATTTCTTTGAATATCTTTTGTTTCAACTGAATGTTTTCAATCACTGCCTGAAAAATGATACCAGAGGAAACATTTATACACTAGTTGATCCTCTCTGAGAACTAACTAGATTTGGATACACTAGAAACCAAAGAGAAGGACAGATAATGGTAAGGGAGATTGAAAGCTGACCTCTATGACCATGTCCACGTCTTTGAATTCTGAGTAATCTAGTACTCCCTTGAGTAAAGAGAAGGCCTGGCTTGCTTTATCTTGTGTCAGTTTTCCCCTAGAAACCAAGCCTTTGAGATTTGCTGTCACAAGAAAAAACTCACTTTATTGCATCTACTCTAAACAGGAATAGTAACAAACCATATAATCATATTTACATCATAAGTAGTTTTTTTGGCTCTAATACTTCTCCTACTTCTTAGGGATGCATACTCTCATTTACAACATTTCATCTGAGAACACCGTTTTATAATGCAACCAATCATTGCAAATTTTTTGTTTGACCAAGATAAGATACTTCTAGCAAATAGCAACTGGATATGCTATGGATAGAGATAAGAACCTTCAACTGATTTTATTCCCTTGAGAAGATATTCTGAGTTTATTTCTTTGAGCACGACTCTTATATTGCTTAGAAGTAGAGCTGTAGCGATGCCAGAACCCATCAGACCTCCACCAATAACTGCAACTTTTTTCATCGGTCTCGGTTTCAATCCAACGTCAGTTACCTTAGGCACCTGAAAAGTGTTTTCAAAGATTCTAAGGATGAAGGTTGAATGTGGAAACAAGAATTACTATGAGATACAAACACAGTGCGATATAATCCTAAGGAAACTACAGGTTTCGGAGAGATAAAAAGTTTAGCCAATCTCACCTTTGAAGTTGCACGCTGTGCAAAGAAAACATGAACAAGAGCCTTTGACGTGTCTGAGAGTACTAATTGCTTGAAAACTTCTGCTTCCTGCATAGTGAATCAAGGGGTTTAGGTACGTACCCAACTAGGAAGCTACCCAAATTGTAGTATACAGTAAGTAGACGTCGAATACTAAAGAGAAAAATTACCTTGAGAACGCCACTATATCCTCCATGGATGATTCCATCTTCCATCACCTCAATGCAGGCATGGTGCTGAGGCATGTTTGGGGCTATCCTCTTGGCAAGTTGTCTTGCCTTCATCAATACAGCACGAGCTTCAGATAAAGAACCAATTTTGTCTGTCCTGTGCAGTGAGCGCAGAAAGGGTTTACGTCTATCTGCAATGTCTAAAGCCCACTTTCTTGACGTGCTCAACAAATCTCCAGGTGGCACCAAAGCATCAATAAGACCCAGTTTATGCCCCTCCTCTGACGATATCGACTTTGAAAGCTACAAAAAGTAACAAAATTCTCAACAAAGCAAACTTGGTAATGAAACTGTTGGTAACTGCATAAAACCATCCTTACCAGTATCATATCAGTTCCTTTCTCAAGGCCTACTAATCTTGGAAGACGTTGGGTTCCTTCATAGACACAATTAGCTTGATTAATTACCAAGTACTATTGAAAGAAGATCAAACAAATCTATACCTCCAAAACCAGGAATAATCCCAAGTGTCAGCTCTGGTAAGCCTAGCTGAGCTTTTGGAGCAGCAACTCGAGCATGACACGCCTAAAGAATTTTGTGTCACAGGACAATCAACACAGCAACAACAACAAAAAGAAGTACTTTTTAAAAGCAAAAGGGGAAAATAAAATTGAAAAGTCTCACCATTGCCAGTTCTAAACCACCACCAAGAGCTAGTCCTTCAACTGCAGCAACAAGCGGCTTCCTAGAGTCTTTAATAACCAAAAAAACAGTATCAAACATCACAACTTGCAATACTTATAGGCTTAATCTTATTGAGAAACATATCAACCTAAACAAAAGTTAATACCTTCCATAAGGTTGCACACAAGATCAACAGATACTTCAGGCATAAGCGATATATCCCCTGACAAGAAACGATATAGTCAAAACACAGAACAACTTCACTACAAAACTTACAAAAGAAACAAAATTTCTTACCAGTCTTATGAACTTGCTGGAAGACATTGATGTCAAAACCACCCGAAAATCTTCCACCGTTCCCTGAGCCACGAAAGTTTTAAACTTTCAATCTTATAGTTAAGAAAGAACACAGAAGACTACACAGCACATGATCCAAAACTCAATTAGCAACAATAATTCAAAAGAAACTCAATTTCATAATTTGTTTACCGGTCAACACGATGGCCTTAACATCACTCCTCTGATTAGCCTCTTGAAACTTCTCTTTCAAACCAGAAATAACTGAAGAAACCCACAAAATCAAAGATCAGCTCAAAATAAAAGAAAGCAACTTTCAGTTAAAAAATCATCAAATGATTCCAAAGTATTGAGCTTTTTTTTTTACTTTGACTCGCTAAAGAGTTAACAGGAGGGTTTGAGATGGTGATCACAGCAACACCATCGTTCCCAACTTCCATCGTCACTCCAATCTTTTTAGCCATAGCTTAACAACAACAACAACACAAGTTTTGTTTTTTTTTTTCAACTAGAAACTTTGATGAGCTTGGGGAAATGAAGAGCTATTATTTGAGTTTGGTGCCTGAATCGGATAAAGATCTGTTTTTTTTTTTTTATAAAGACAAATCAGGCGTGAAGTACATTTGTAACGTGTCTGGATTCTCTTTTCTAACTTGTTTGCTTAGCCATTTTTGCATAA